CAGGAACTTTAAAGCCCCAGATGATTTCTCCTGGTTGCTGGCTGGTCTCTGGTTCCTGACAGCAGCTCTGCCAGTAGATGATGTGCTGTGCTTTTCTATGTTGGAAACCATCCACACAGAAGGAATTAGATCTTGACAGCTGCTGTCACACACAGGGATGCTCACACTCATCCTGTTTTTTTCCTTCACTTCCACCATGGCCTAATCGCCATCTCTTCTTTACCATCAAGTGCAGCAACCAAAACAAACCTCCTCCCCAGCTGCAATTTTAAACACGCAATACACTGGATTAGCAAAACCTCTCTGCTCTGAGAACAGCAGGGTTGCTCTCCACTGACAAACGGAGGCGTCCTGATGAAGTGACAGCTCCAGTCTGTCACTGAAACAAAGAGACATTTTGAAAAAGAAAGGTTCAGCTTCATACTGGCTCTCACTCGCTTTGTATTCTATAGGAAGTGTGTCACCTAAAATTCTGTGTTGTGCTTCTGTGTGACTTCCTTCCTCCTGCTGATCATGTAGCTCCGTGCAGAGCTCCACTTGCTCACAGTCATGTACCCAGAGAAGGGTGACACCACAGCAGGCTTGTGACCGGAAGCCCACCGGGTCAAATCTGGGAACATCTGGGGAAAATAAGGACAGGGGTGAACAAAATAGTACATAATGCTCTCCATCCCCCACAACAAGCCCTTTAGCCAATGTTCTGAAATACTCCAGTATGGTTTACAGAGATAGACATAAATAATAAAGAAGCTAAAAGAAACACATTGGAGGTCATTCACTTGAGTTGCCTTCACAACCACCAAATCCTCATTGACAAACATGATATGTTGCCAAATTCTGATGGGTAGCTGCAGGACTATTAGCTTAACTTGACACCCATGTGCAAACCCAACATCTGGGACACTTGGGAAATACATTTCTTGAATACTTACTCATGGATAAACAATTTCATGGGGGAGTGAGCGTGGTGTAGGCTCCTTGCTACAAATTACCTACCTAATAGCATCTGACTGAAACATTACTGTCAGATAAATGATAATGTGTGAACACATGAGCGGCCATTACACAGTGTTATGTTTAATATAAATTTCAAGTTGGTCGCGATGTTCATTTTACACCCAGGAAAGCAATGCATTTTACGCCTTTTACCTCAAATGTGTTATGGGTTACAGAACACCTGATAAGGCCACTCAATAAAAAATATATTTTTAAAGCTTTCCTAGAGTCCATAGGACACTGAATACATCTAAACACTCGCCATGGAGCCTGAGTATTTGGGAATACATTACTGGAATGTTAATTGGGATTTATTTACAAGCAGTTTGTGTTGGCATGGAAGGAAACACTCAGTGACAACCCTTATGCCCTGTCTCCCTTTTTTTCCTCCTCAAGAACAGATTGAACTATGCTAAATATGCAGCAGAGCGACCTGTGTCCACACATCAGGGTTTATTTTTAGGAAAGGCCCCTCACTCTGCTCCTCCCAGGTTTTCTCATTATCTGTAACAGGATTGGCACATGCAGAGATAATGGCTGAATGCCTGGCCTCCCACTCACCAATGTGTAAAGGGGTCTCATATTTTTATCCCTTTACGGCAAATGACTCAGGTCCATTTACATATAAACTGCATCTTTACCGATATGTATTTATAACAAAAATGTACATCTCAGTGATAAACTTCTCTGAAAGTCATTGCACCCTTGGGAGCAAGCTACACACACACAACATCATAAGGCCCATATCCTTCAGCACAGTTAAGTTATAGTATTATTATCCTACCATGAAATTAGGTTTCTGACACTAAGCATCCACAGTATAGCAAGTCTAAATCACTGCTTGGGGAGAAACCTGGGCTCTTATAGTTAGGTAATGGCAGAATGCACAAGAGTTGGAGCATCGTGCAAAGATATTATAGTGGAATTTTGCATGAACACACAGCAATGACAGCATGCAGTTTGTTAGATTGATTTGATTTCCTCTAAAATGGGCTTATCACACAGCGAAGCTTTAGGGGGGGATGAAATGGTGACGCTGACCCATAGAAAATATGTGGAAAAGAGACACTTGACCCTAAACTGTTTTCTATTGCATGGTCTTCCTCATCAGATGGAGTTCACGTTGTTGTCACTGAGCTATAGAAGTTTTATTTCCATTATTTTGAGCATTTTAAGAACTTCTCATACAAGTTGGTTTAAAAGTTCATTCTTGGCCAGAAAACCAACCTACCCCTCAAAATGGT